CAAGTTGACACTCAATATTAACCATCATAGCTGGGTTCTGTCGGTTGCTCTCCCAGGACTTTCCAGGGAATTCAGGTTAATAGAGATAGAAGAAGATAAGGAAAGAAAGACTATTGCCTGGAAGAACTGCCTTAGTGATGTTGAAATTGGAGGGAAATATACAGTGCTGCTGTGTTGGAATCTTCCCCATGAAGAATGCTTTCCCACCTTGGATCTACAAGGATGTCTTTTGTAATAGGGTGTGGCAGAAAAAGCAACAGACTAGGAGTCGGGCGGTCTCTGCTCTGCTATTTACATCCACCTAATTCCTAGAACCCAGACTCAACCCGCAAACTACTAAGTCCTGGCAAAACCGCAGCCATTAGCATGAGATCCACGTTCCCAGTGCATGTTTAGATGGCCTTCTCTTCACCCTCTCTGATTCCTGGTTAATTAATGGTTTCTTTGCCACCCTGACTAATGAGTGTCAGGATTCATGAGCAGCAAGAAATAGAAAACCCAGCTCAGACTGACTCAGGCCAAAAAGGGTATCTATTGGCTTATGTAACTGATCTAATTGCAGGCATTGCTGGGTATAAGGACTCCTTTGATTTGACTGGGACTCAGTTTCTTGCCATCTCTTAGTTTTCAGTTCCTTTTCCTTGACTCCATTTTTAGCAGGGTCCTTCCTCCTGATGATGAAATGGTTGCCAGAGATGCTCAGCTTATATCTTCAAAGCTTCAACTTCAGTAAAACAGAGAGCCTGCTTCTGTTTCAGCAATCTCAGTAGTGTATGTCACTAGCTTTGGAAGGGTGATGCTCCTGATTTGGGACTAGATCAAATGTTCCCCCCGGCCAGGTGTAGTGGCTCATGCCTGTAACTCCCAGCACTTTTGGAGGCTGAGGCAGGCAGAGGACTTGAAGTCAGGAGTTCGAGACCAGCCTGGCTAACATAGTGAAACCCCATCTCTACTAAAAAGTACAAAAATTATCCGGGCATGGTGATGGGCACCTATAATCCCAGCTACATGGGAGGCTGAGGCAGGAGAATTGCTTGAACCTGGGAGGAGGATGTTTCAGTGAGCTGAGGTCACACCACTGCACTCCAGTCTGGGTGACACAGCGAGACTCTGTCTCCCAAAAAAAAAAAAACAGTCCCCCCTCCCCAACCTCTGCGGGAGAGGAAGCCCCACTTGAATCACTTGGGTTAAAAGTAGGGGAAGGGTTAATCTCAGGTGAAAAGGAGGTAGTGCTGTTCAAGAAGAGGGACTGGATGGATGTGGGTGACCCAACCACAAATACCTACTCTCCCTTAGCTCCCAAAACATACCTCAAGGGTTCCTCAGTAGCAGGAATTTTACAAAACACTGCTGCCAGTTCCGATAAGAGGTGTGTTGCAAATACCTAAAATTAGCTGGAATTTGTAACAAGTTTTTATTTTTAAAAATAAATTAGAGTGGATTCAGAGTTACCCTGGTAAAGCTTTTCAGTGGTGGATATGTGAGCATTTTGATAAGATTGACTCTACTTGTGTAAAACTTTGAAAATTTTCACAACAAAAAAGGTATCCCCTAAAAAATATCAATTTTACTCATTTGTTTTCCAAAACACTTTTTTTTTTATAAGGAAGTAGGTTGTCAGAGAAGGGGTGCTCAGGCCTGCTTGTTAGACTAGAGAAGGCTTCCTGGCCAAGTGACTGCTCAGAATGTGGGAAGTAGAGTAACAGCCAAGTGAGTGTGCATTTTTTTTTTTTTTTAAGAGATGGGATCTCTGTCACCCAGGCTGGAGTGCAGTGGCACAATCACAGCTTACTGCAGGCTTGACTTCCTGTGGTCAAGCCGTCTTCCCACCTCAGCCTTCCTAGTAGCTGGGACTATAGGCACACCACACCACCTGGCTAATTTTTTATTTTTTGTAGAGATGGGGTCTTGCTATGTTGTCTAGGCTGGTCTCAAGACTAGAACTCTCAAGTGAGCCTCCCACCTCTGCCTCCCAAAGTTCTGGTATTATAATTATGAGCCACCACAGCTGACCCACATTTTGAATACAATAGAAGAAGGGCTTTGCAAACTGTGAAGTGCCATTACAATACATAAAAGTATTGTAAGTATGTGGTGGAAGAATATTTTTGAAATATTAACATGATTTTTTCCCCATTCTTACTGCCTTTGTTTTCTCCTCACTCAGCTAAGCCAATCTATATTCATTCTGTCAGGAGGAAGACTATGACAGCAGGAGGAAGAACAAAGGGTATCTTCCAAGGGGCACAGAAAAGAGAGTTACTAAGTGTTCCCCACCACCAGAGTAGTAAAGAGGTTCCCCATACTGGGGGAACAGAGAGAGCCAGAAGTTCTATGCCTGAAGCTTTCCAATGGCAAAGTAAGGATTCCCCATGGCGGGTGAATGGGTAAACAATGGAAGCGTCCCATCCATGAATTATCATGCAGCCATTAAAACAAATGCATTAAATCTATGCCCGTTCATTCGGAGGGGGCTTCTGGTTTACAACACCAGCAAGATGTAGAGAAAGATGCTACAAAATTCCTTTTTATAGAATAAATGATGACCAGCCCCCATTGTTAACATAGACATTTGCATGTTTGCATACAGTTGCATGAGCATGGGCAAAAAGTATGAAAGGATACACTTTGCTTCCTAACACTGTTTACCTGGGGAGAGAAAATAAGCGGGAGGAATAGAAACTTAAAAAGTGTGCACAATAAAAAAGCATTGGTGGCAATTCCACTTATGTAGCATTCATATGCATACATATGTGTGTGAATGCGTGTGTGTGTATATGAAAAGATTACCACCAACTCAAACAGTACAGATATGTATGAAGAAACTCAAGATAAATAATAGTAACATTTTGATTATTGAGTTTCCTTATACTTATCTAAATTGTTCAAATCATTTTCTCAAACTTCATGTATTTTCCCACTTTTAAGCAGGCAGTAACAGAACCCATCTTAAAGATAACACATTTAAATTTACTGACACACAGTAGGCACCTAATAAATAGTTTAATGAAAATGAATGTAATTCTCAAAATTCAATAAAGCTCTTGTCATTGTGGAGACAGAAAGAACCATGCTTGGAGAAGCCAAGACAGCTGAGAAGATGCTCACTCTGTCCTCTTCTTGAAAGAAAAGCCAATGCAGATTTAAGAGGTTCAAAAATGATAGAGGGGAAAAGAGAGAGAGAAAGATTTCAACCTGCTGCTTTACAACCAAAACATTGCAGCAAGGGCTGCAAGCCACATCATGGAATATACTGAGAATTTAGCATCTGATCATGAGCAAAATCAGAGACATGGATGGGCCTTCCAGCTACTGCTTTGAGTTTGCAGGGCTTGGAGGCTGCAGCAGTGAGTGGTGCTGCTGTCCTAATGTCATGACTGTACTAGGAGTCACTCTTTCGTCATTCTTCTGTCCGTTCGTTCAGATGAGTAGAGACGGGCTGCATGAACGATTTTATCCCCAGGGTCAAGTGGAGCATCTGGCATGGAACAGCCACTCAGTACATGTTGAGTGAATGCATAAATAAGTAAGGGAATGAGTAAATGAAGGGTTGAGTATGTGAGTAAGTGAGTGGGTGGGACAATGGATGAATGAATAAATGTGCACCCCAGAAGAAGCCCTGACACAGCTTTGAATTATTCCTCCGGACGAGGCTGGCTTTGTGGAGAGCTGTCCATCATCCTTGCCTGCCCAAGGACAGTGACCTCTCAGCTTTCACCATGCATCTTGCAGCCATGGAAGAAAGCAAAATTAACTGGTCTCCATCAGTCTCCCCATTAAATTTGCTAAGCACCCATCATGTGTGAAATATTGACTAGGAACTGTGGGAGATGGGAAGAATTCTGGAAATTCCTGACTCTCAAGGAATTTGCAGGCTTATCAGACAGTTACCACACAAAGACATAAAAACATCCCCTGCTAAAATATAAGACCACACCAGATACGTGCTGTAGGTGTTCACCCCTACAGGAACTCTGGGGAAAATGGGGCAGGAGGAGTCACCCTTGAGGTCACAAATCGCTCTCCAAAGGAAATAGAACAACATCACAGCATGAACTCTGAAGTCAGCCCAACTGTCTGCCTTGAATTACAGCTTCCACCAGGTGTCTGGCCTTGGACAAACTACTTAACTCTCCCATCTGTCAAATGGGGATAATAATAGTAACACTCTCCCAATTATTGTTGTGAGGATGAAATAAGCTAATACTTAGGAAAAGCTTGGAACAGTGCTTAGCACATCTTAAGTGTGATATGTGTGAGCTCTTTCCTTGATTCTCATTCTGACTTGAAGAGGACTTTTAGAGGGGAGACCCAGGGAACAGTGGGGCAGCCTAGACAAGTGGAAGGTGTTATGCTGGAGGCTTAACCTGGTTCAAAGCCTGGTTCAGCTATTTCTACCAGTGTGACCTTGACTTAAACTCTCCAATAACAACACCAATTTCATTGAAAACATATGCTAACAATGCCATGATAAATAGTAGTTATTATTAAAGAGAAACAGTAAAGAAGACCCCAGAGGGAGGTGAATAAATTAAGCATGATGAGGCGCCTTGCTACTTCCCCATCTTTCTCTTCTTCCCCCAGATTTGTTCGAGGTCTCATCATTACTGGTTTGCATTTCTATTTTAATCATGTTATAGGTTTACAGTATTTTTCCCCCTGCATCTTTATATGCTATAATTTGAGTACTATTTTTACACAACGAAGCCATTTTTAACCGAGAACACATTCAATTGTCTTTCAGCATATATCATTGTTTATCTTAATTAATGCTAAAATATTCTTAGGGGTAAAAACACATCCCACAGAGTATTATGCAAAGAAACTTAGCATTCATTTTTGCCTCCCTCTTTTCTGGCGTATCAATTTATAAAGGTTTTAGCATCCTGTTATTTCAATGACAATAATGCATGCTCTTAAACGCAGACACCCATCTGTGGGAAGCAAGTCACAAGGTGTCAACAGCAGCAAGGTGTGTGTTGCAGTGGAGGTGGAGGATTGACAGCTGAAAGAAGAAGGGGGTTTTGCTGGTGAGAATAATGCCAAGTGAAGTCATAGGCTTTGTCTCTGATTGATCCATGGAAACATTCCTTGAGTACAGCTGAATCTAGCTAGACTCCATGCTTGGAGTCTTTCTTACTAAGGCTACTATAACTCTAAGCCCAGATGATGGAAAATGGATGATGTTTTTTCTCATCATCCATTCTCCTTTCTTCTAATAAGATGCCCCATGCATCTCTGGGGAAATGACCCTTTCCACACTCAACCTAAGTTTTTTGCCTCTCCCTCCAGCTCTAGGGTGGACTTGTGAAATAGACCTGACCAATCAGTATCTACTATCTTTCTGGCCACAAGACTGGGCAAGGGATAGCCATGTGACCCAGTCAGAACCAACGGGACTCAGTTTTGAGATTTTAGATAGAACCATTGGGAAAGAGGGGTTCTCTTTCTACTGGGATGCTGACCTGGTAGAAATATTACCCAGAGCTGCCTGTGACCATCTTTACTATGAAAAGGGAAGAGCTTGCCAAAGAATGAAGTGTATTAGTTTGTTCTCATGCCGCTAATAAAGACATACCCGAGACAGGGTAATTTATAAAGGAAAGAGGTTTAATGGACTCACAGTTCCACATGGCTGGGGAGGCCTCACAATCATGGCACAAGGCAAATGTGGAGCAAAGGCACGTCTTACATGGTGGCAGGCAAGAGAACAGGTGCAGGGAAACTCCTGTTCATAAAACCATCAGATCTCGTGAAACTTATTCACTATCATGAGAACAACACAGGAAAGACCTACCCCCATGATTCAATTACCTCCCACTGGGTCCCTCCCATGACACATAGGACTTAAGGGAGCTGCCATTCGAGATGAGATTTGGGTAGGGACACAGCTAAAGCATGTCAGAAGCCAATATGAAAGAAAACAGAACTGACAGATGGAGGCAGACTCTTGACAACTCCTGGACCCTGGATCAATTTTTGTTTAAAGCCAGTCTGCAATCTGCATCTTTGATGTAAGCCAATGTATTTCCTTTATTTGTTTGTTTAAGCTAAATTAAGTCATTTGTAATTTAAAGAGTTCAGAGAGGTGTAGTGTTTCAGTAGGGAACTGTAAAAAGCAGGGATAGTCTGTAGATTAGAAGGGAATAATGTGATGTTGACCACATCTGGGAGAATGGGCATCTGAGGGCGTCTTGCATCCCAAACCCACTGTCTTCCTAATCAAGCAATAGTTTGGTATCTGAGAAGTTCCAAGTAGCCTTTAAGTCACACAATCATACTAGAGGAACTCCCAAGAAGCTGGGTGACATTGTGATATAAAATGTGGAACTTCACTAGGTTATGTAAGAACCTCTGAAAAGGGTTGATAGGAAGGGTGTACATTAGGTGCGTAAAGAACTAGGTGTGGGGGAACTAACCTAGTACAAAACGGATCTGGTGAACTTGGATTCTACCCTACTCGAGATGATGTTTGAGGTCTCTGATCTAAGTAGGGGTTTGGGGGCAGAATTATGACAAGTATCTATAGGAAGTCACTATCTTTTATTAAAAATTTGTTGTGAACCAGATACTATCCTAAATGACTTACCTAACACTGTTGTATTTAATCCTCTCAACAACCTGATGAGTTTTGTCTTTTTACCTCCGTGTTACATGTAAAGGAACTAAGGCTTAGAAAGCTGGAGTGACTTGGTCTGCCATGTCTAGGATTTCAACTCATGTCTGTATGACTTGAAAGCATCTAGTGGGTGTTGACATTGGGTTGTGGACTTGAAATAGAACTTTGGCCAATGGCTGGAGGACATGGAAGAGGGGACAGAGTCCAGCCTCCAAAAGTTAGAAAGCTGCCAGGACTAAGCTTTTGGTCAGAGATTCAACCTTCCAGGGGCAGACCCTGATCCCAATGGGAGAGTAGACTTGATAGGGAAACTGAGGCAGGATCCTGGGACTGGAGCCAACACAGGGAGCATTAGTTGGGAGGGTTGTTGTGACCAGTCAACATGCTTCTAGGGGCTTGTGGCAAAGAACAAACACAGAACTCCAAATGAATTCCCTGCCAGAGCTTGTTCAGAGTTGGCTTGGGGATAGGAGAATCTGAGGGGAGAATGAGACAGAGAAAAAAGAGAGTCTTATGGAATCCTAAGATTTAAAAAGAGAGGAAGAAAAGATGCCTTTTATTTATTAAACAACGATTATAAAATACCTAACACATGGCCACCATTGGACTAGGTTCTTCCCACACATGAAGCTCAGAGAGGTCAAGTGAGTTGTTCAGGGTCACACAGGAGCTGTGCCTGGGTACGAAGCTGTATCTGCTCAAACAAAGGTCTTTTCGTGGTGCCAGAGTCTACATTTCCCAGGGCACTAAGGTAGTGACTTGATCATCACCACCAAATATGTGTTGTAAGAACAGCTTACATTTACAGATATTATAGCTACTCTGTGTCCTGCAAGTTGCTAAGGACTTTACTTGGATTATCTCAACTTATCCCCCAGACTACCTGTGACATTTAGCCAGGCATCATCATCATCATCATCATCATCATCAACCATCGTTATCCTCATCCTCATCATTGTTCTTGAATGATGAAAATTGAAGCTCAGAAACTCAACCTGTGTCAAGATTACAAAGCTAGCAAATGCAGGGTGAGAACCTGAACCCAGGAAGCCCGCACTTTTAGAAGTGCCCAAGCTTATATCTCCACCTACAACTCTGCCTCAGTTTCTCCCTCTGTAAAATGAAGGCAGTAATAAGGCACCTCATAAGGTTATTGTGAGAACAAAATGAACTGCTGCATACTAGGAGCTTAACAGACTGGCAAAGAAAACTCCGTCAATGTTGGCTTTCATCAGGGCTATTTTAATTTTTGCATCACCCTCTTCAAAAGGGCACTTCTCGCTTTCCCACGGCTAAGCTGCCATCCTCAAGTGTGCTGGAAAAAAAGGCTGGGTAGCTTACAACGTGCCGGGGCCTCTTAGTGTAATCCTGGGGCGAGAGATAAAAGAAGCTCGCTTGACATAACTTCATAAACCCATTTTAATCTAAACATTGATTTTCCTTTGGAATGATCCCTTTCCCTTTGCACACAGTCCCACTATGCCTCTAATACAGACATGGGTATTGATAACATTATTGAGATAAAACAGTCGCCTCTTTCTTACTGCCTTTATTCATCAGTCACCCTGGGCCTGTCTTTGTCTTTTTTCATCCTCTGCTACCCGCCATAACTCAAGGTGAAAGTTTCCAGTAATGACAAGTAGTAAAATATGAGAGATTTAAGCAAATTCAACTGGAAATAATGTGAAAAAATATTATTCGCTCCGGACACATGCTTCTCTTTTGATCTTCCTTGTCCAAGATACATTTTTTTAAAAAATACTCCTTTGATAGCAAGAAGCGAGCAGGCGCTAAAAGGAAACCTTATGTCTTTGTTGGGAAATAATTAGTCTGATTGAATCGCTTGCTTTCTGATGGACAAAGGAGTCTTTAAAGAAAATCATTTGTGTTCTCTGGGCTCCTTCAGGCAACACAGCTTTCTGAGGCTTGGGCTTTTAGATGAGAGTTTGGGGAATGGAAAATTTCCCTGAATAAGAAATCAGAAAGCTTGACCTACACAGTTACCTCTCTCTTAACATGACAACAATTGGCAATTACTTTTTGATCCAAAGTGTGAGGATGAATATGGAAAGGTAGGGCGAATCATTCTCCTTCTTCTCAAGCTCATTCTCTCTTTAAAGCTGCACCTGAAGCTGATTTTCTTTTCTTTTTTTTCAGTCCCAGCGATTCAATATAATCTATAGCTGGAAATACCTACGTTAGCTGCAGCTGGGGGGAAAAGCAGTTGGCAAATTCATGAATCAGGGCTTCTTTGCTTTTTCGATTGTGAAAGGTAACTTCCGACAGCTTAAGGGTGATTTGGAATGAAGCGTGGGTTGGTTCTGCGTGTCAGCACATTGCCTAGTTGTTCCAGCCAGGCTGGCTGTAATGGAGCATGGACATCCATAGATAGTTTCAGTGTCAGGGACACCAGTGGCTCTAATGAAGAGAGGACCTTAACTTTGATGCAGAATCATGATTGTTTATAGCTGTGTGGTGAAGAATGAGGCTCTGAAATCCATCACACTTGGGTGAAAATGCTGCTTGGTCTGCAATGTGAAGCTGATTGCTTAATTCCTCTGATACTCAGTGTCTTTACCTGTAAAATGGTGCCAATATCGAAGTAGCTGTCTTGTATAGCAGGGTTTCTTAATCTTGGCATTATCAACATTTGGGGCCAGGACATTCTTCATGGTGAGGGGCTGCCCTGTGCGTTGTAGGGTGTTTAGCAGCATCCTTAGCTTCTACCCACTAGATGCCAGTAGCAATCTCCCTCCCACCCCATTATGACAACAAAAATCGTCTCCAGACACTGCCAGTGTCCCCTGGGAGGTACAATCCCTCCTCCTTCCCCTCATTGAAAGCCGCTGCCATGGAGTTATTGTGAGGATGAAATGAAATAATCCATACAGTGCTCTCAGACACTGTTTAGTAGATACTCCATAGTCAATGCTCAATAAAAAGTAGTTGTTACTCAGACACCAAGAGGGTAACAACAGGCACACAGACACTGGGGCCTATTTGAGGGTGGAGGATGAGAAAAGGGAGAGGAGCAGAAAAAATAACTATTGGATACTAGGCTTACTACCTGGGTGACGAAATAATCTGTACAACAAACCCTGGTGGCACAAGTTTACCTATATAACCAACCTGCACATGTACCTCTGAACCTAAAATAAAAGTTTGAGAAGTGAATGGATGAATATTAGTTGTTACTGTATTAATAAAACCATCAATAGAAACATAACACAATCAATTTTTTTCTCTTGAGGAATCGTATAGAATCTCTGGATCTTTAGGGTCCCAATTTCCCTGATATCAGCTAGGAATCCTCAGTTGCCCCACCTGCCACTTGCAAAATGTTTTGCTTTTTGGCAAAACCACCCAGTGCCAGGAACAGGGAAGTCGATTTCCAAGTGGTTCTGTGAATGA